GCCTTTAATGTGGCTACAGAAAATTTAAAATCTTATGTGGCTTGCATATATTTTTGGTGGATGGAGTGGCTCACCTATCCTGTATTAGAATCTCACTATTTTCTGAGAAAGTTATGCTCCTACTGTTACATAGGTGAATGCTAGAGGTTTTCATTTGCTTCTTGAGCACAGAGGGTGATTTCTTTTTTAATATTATGTAATCCTCTGGAAGCAGCCCTCAGGCTTTTCTGAGTTTTTGGTAGTTTGTTTTCCATTTCCTTTAACACTATGGGACAAAGAACCAGATCCCTTGAACTGTTGTTGCTACTTCCTGCTGAACTTTATTTTCTTATGTAGCCTTTCTTGGTGCTATATTCTAGATAAGTATGCTAATGAATATTAAAGTGAACCTTTTAGGGCAACTTTCTTTTCTTATTGATGTGTCTTGTCAACTAAGATACTTTCATCTTCTTGGGCTGCTGTAGTTTGCCTATTCATTTTTTTTTCTTAAATTAGAACTTACAGAATACATCAAGTGTGTCCCTCATCTCTCATTTCTGAAGTTCTGCTGTAGTTATGGCCTTCATTAAAATTTTTGTCCTTTGGATTTGGGATTAGGGAAAAGGCACATGATTTGGTTCTACACACTTCCATATTAAATCTTACTTTGGAGTCTGAAGAGGCATAGAAAGTAATTTTTAGCTTTCTTTACTTTTGTCACTTGGAGGCTTGACATGTGTACCTAAGTTATGAAATAATGTTATGACTTGAGGTCATGTCAGGTCCTTGTGATGTATAATTCTGCTGAAGTTGATGTACAACTAAGCAGCTGTTTATTTGTCTCACTTTATTAATAAAGCTTTTTTTTTTTTTTTTTTTTGGTCGTTTGAGATAGGGTTTCTCTGTTGTACCCTTGGCTATCCTCAAATTCACTCTGTAGACCAGGCTGGCCTTGAAATCACAGAGATCCTCCTGCCTCTGCCTCCCCATGCTGGGATTAAAGGCATGTGTCATCACTGCCTGCCTATATGATAACTTTATTTCTCTACTTTCCTTGTGTTGGTTAACCTCCCTTGGTAGTGTAATGAGTTTGTCAAAATAAAAACAATGTCTGATTTACCTATTAAAAGGTGAACCCATGTTGGCTTTTGATGTACATGGCTTCATTTTCTTTCATTGTGCATTTTTAAAAGCGGAGATGTTTCTGATTCGTTGCTTATAGTTTGGGAGATAGTAGAAAAAAGAATTGTCACCAAGCCCAGCTACCAAACAGCACTGGTTTTCTTTCAGATTTTTAATTTTTCTGTATGTATTTATTGTGGGTATGGGTATAATTGTGGAGGCCAGAGGACAGTTTGCAGAAATTGGTTTTCTTTCCACTATGTGGGTTTTGGGGACAGAGCTCTGTGGTGGAATTTTGTTTATGATCTAATAAATAAATCTTTCCTGAAGATCAGAATGCAGAGCTAAGCCACTAGTTAGCCACACACACAATAAGCCATTAGTTACCCATACACCTAAGCCACTAGTTAGCAATAAAGCACAGGCAGTGGTGGCCACACTTTTAATCCCAGCACTAGGGAAACAAGCAGACGGATCTTGGTGAGTTCAAGGCCACCCTGGGCTACATGAGAGTGAATCAGTTTGAAGAGAAACAGAGCTCACGCCTTTCATCCCAGCACTAGAGAGAACATAAGGCAGGAGCTCAGTGCAGTCTCTGAGTACAGTCTGAGATTTGGTGGAGAGCATTGTAGTCTGCAGTCACGCTGAGGACAGAATCACCATCCTTTGATCTGAGCCTTGGTAGAGAGAGGTAAGAACTCTCTAGTGACTTGGCTGGTTTGCTTCTCTGATCTTCAGATTGAACTCCAATATCTATCTTTGGGTTTTTATTATTTGTGCTACAGAGTTCATGCCTCCATGCTTGGCAGAAAGCACCTTTCTTTATCCACAGAGCTGTCTAGCTGGCTGGCTGTTAATTAACTTTAAAAAAAAAATGCCGTAATGATGATGGCTAATGGTTTCATTTCTTTGGTCTGACTCAAATACATGTACTTGTGAACACACATATTTACTTTTTTATGTTATTACAAAACTTTTCCAATTAGAACATTTCTACCAGGAATTTATGGGAGTTAAGAGTTTACTGTGTATTTACTTAGCAGATTTATAGAGGCACCCCCCCCCTTTTTTTTGAGGCAAGTTCTCTTTATATAATCCTGGGACTTGCTTTGTAGATAGTTCTGGCTCCTAGCTTATGATTCCTCTTGCCTCTGCCTTCTGAGAACAAAGTCAATTGTACAACATAAGTGTAGTGGAAAACTGAAGACATCCTATATGCTGAGCACACACATTACCACTGTGCACGTCATTAACCATCCTGGAACTTGCTTTGTAGACCAAGCTGACCTCAAACTTAGAGATCCACCTACCTCTGCCTTTTAGTGCTTTGTTAAATCTTCAAAAGATTGCCCCTTATAGTTTCCTCATTTCTCCATTTGTGGTCTGTTAATTCAGCTCTATGTGCCAGCTCTCTTGAGCCTTGTCCTTTAGTATGTCTTTTTCAGAGAATAATAATTTCATGTAAATTCTAAATTTGTTATCTTATGCTCATTTAGGTTGCTGTTAGAAAAGAAATCACATGATCAAGTTCACATTCAAAGTTTTGTGTCTTCAGCCTTAGATGAACAGATTGCTTTACTGTCCTGTCCTCTCTGATCCTTAAAATTTTTGTTTGTTTGGTTTTATTGGGGGGGGGGTTGTTTTTGTTCTTTTGGCATTTCTCTGGATTGAACCAGGGCCAGGGCCTTGTGCATACTAGACTTTTCACTGCTTACATCTTATTCAGCCTCCTTTTTATTTGGAGACAAGGGGGGGAAGGTGTCTCACTAAGTTGTTGAATCTATCCTTGAAGTCACTTATTACCTACTATAGAACATCTGTCTTCTTTAAAGTCTAGTCGGTACATTGAATTCAAATGATTTCTGAATTTACTAATTTGTATTAATATTAGTAATAGTATTAATACTACTTGTATTAGTACGTGACAACTGCTCATTTAGTTGCTCAAACGGGAATCAGAAATTCAAGACTAAACACTCCTCCTACTGGTTAATTTTAGAAATCCACTGGCTTAGCACTTTGGTATATAGTCAGGATACCATCCAGTAGAAATTTAATGCAAGTTGTGGCTGGAAGAGTGCGCAGTGGTTCACAGCACTTTACTGCTTTTTCAGAGGATTCTATATATTTCTCACACTGCTCTATTTACAACCACCTGTAACTTCAATTCCAGGGGATATTAAGTCCTCTTTTGGCTTCTGTGGGCATGCATGTGCATGTGACATGTACACACAGACACACATAGATACATAGGAATGAGAATAAAAATAAATCCAATCACTAGCCTAAAATGTGCAACAGAATATCAGGAATGAGAGAGCAACCTACAACAACTGTAGATTGTGCTGGTCAGTGGTGGCACACACCTGTAATCCTAGCACTTAGGAGGCAGAGGCAGTCGGATCTCTGTGAGTTCGAGGCCAGGACCCTGTCTCGAAAAAACCAAAACTGTAGATTGTTTTTAAAGTTCAGGGTAAGGAAAGATTTTTATAAGATAAAAAGTTATCTCCCTTAATTATTTTAACATATAGTGTTATACTGTTAGTCTATCCTTTAAACTGTATTTTGGGCCAGGTTTTCTGTGCTGGAGCCAGGTGCCCAAGACATTAGGTTTTATTATCTGGGATGCTTGCATGCAAATTCTGAGAAAATTTGTTTGGCAGCAGTAGCCAAACTGCTTTGTCATTTATCTTTGAACAAAATTTTTTCTTAAGAAATCTGTTTTGAACGTATGATCATTTGCATTTTTGGAGGTTATCAGTTGTATATTCATATTTTGTTAGGACTGTAGAAAAAATCTGTCTCTCAGAAACTAGTCACATGGGAACCAATAAGTTAAGTGTTCTAAATAATTTAAATTTAAATTAAAGTATGTGCATAGAATGGTATACTTTAAATCACCCTAATCACTTCCTCGATGTGTTACTAAATCTGGCCTTGTTAAAAGGTAGCAGTAAAATTATTTCCAAATTTTATGGGCATATTTTCTTTCATTGGGTACAACACAGTTGAAAGACTAACCTTCCTTGCAGTCATCTTGGTTTTCTTCCCATCTTCCTGGCAGATCTTTCTCAACTTTGTCAGGGCTTTGCCCTGGATCCTCTTCTTTTTTATTACTTATAGTTTCTTTTGGGGACTCCAATTCCTTCCTAATATCAATGTTCGGACAACTTATTTTCAGCACCAGCCAACCCTGGAATTTCTTTAGTCATATGCTTAAAATTGTCTACTGGACACCTCTTCGTGAATGCAGTAGGCAGTTCAAACTAACATGCTTAAAACTATTGTTGATTTTGGCTCTCACTACTCAGTCTTCCTTCTCCATTGTACATTGTTTTCATAATTGCCACTGACCATCAAGTTGTTCAAGTCAAAGCCAATAATTATCCTTGGTTTCTTTTTCTCTCACTGGTGTCCAATTCATTAGCAATATTCCACCAACTCTACCTTCAAAAACATATTTCTAATCCTTAAAATCTCTCATTGCTTCCTAGTAGCTTAATTTAATCTATTTTTTTTTCTGGGATTATTGCAGTGGTCTTTTTAGTTATTAAGCCACTTCACTTAACAGTGAAAGCTATCTTTAAAATGCTAATCAGGTCACTTGCTTGTACAAAATCCTCCAGTGGTTTCCCTCCATGTCTAAAATAATATTCAGACTTCTTTCTTTGGCTGAGTCCCACATGATCTGGCCCCTCCCTGCCTGTCTGACCTCATTTCCTACCTATCCTTTTGTCTCTTTCCTTTGTTAAAGATCACATATCTTCTCTTGTTCTTCAAAGTACCTGATTTTTTTTCTAGTTTATGGTCCTTCCTCTTGCCTGGGATGCTTCCTGCCTTTCTTAATTCAACCCTAAAACAATACTTATTATGAACCAGACTGTTGAGAAAAAGACAATATGACACTCTTAGGTGTTATGCCTTTTTGTCTGGTAGGTTCCTTGAAGTGGCAAAAGAAAAGTGTAGTTGCTGAAGATTTTTCAGTTCTCCACATGCAGTGTGTGCTTGTGTGTGTGTGTGTGTGTGTGTGTGTGTGTGTGTGTGTCAGTTTTTGAAATTTGCTTTCACTTGTTAAATTAGTTACTTTAAATATAAACTACAAGAATACCTTAACTGCCTCAAATTGTTTGAAGTAGGTTGCATAGGTGTAAACTTGTATCTTTCCCAGGGAGTTTATCCTACTATTGTGTTTTCTTCTTTGTGTTCTTTGTGTTAAGTTGTGTTTTTAGTTTTCACAGCCTACAGTTTATCTAATTTTCCCATTTGTTATGGCATTTCATTTTTTTTTGTTGTTGTTGTAATCTACATGTCTTTTAAGTCTGAGTTCACAGAATTTGAAATGCAGAGTTGTGTGAAAAGATTTTAACTAAAATGTTTGTGTTTGTTTAAGCTGGGCTGTTGACTGACAACACAAAAGTTGTATGAAATTCATAGTACACATTTCCAAAACTTCATATGTGTACTTCTTTTGCAGCCTTTCCTCTAAGACTTAAGGTGCACAGTATACTAATTGGCCTTTATTAAAAGATAGGAGGTCTTTAAAAGCTACCGAAAATATGAGATTACTTTGGCATTCATAGGAAAGAGTCTGTCTTCAATTTATTTTGTTTTATTTACTTTTAAGTTGTTGAGTTACATGTAAGTAACTTTAATTTTTTCTGTATTTTGCTCTGTTGCCATGGATCTGCTACTCCTGCTTGAACTGAAATGTGCCACTACAATTTGTGGAATTCCTCACTTACTGTCTTCTGTGAATTTGTTCTATTGGAATCTGAAACACTGGAATGATGGAAATGTTTCCATTACAAAGTAGCTGTGAGTACACTGCATAATTCATACAAAACCTTATTTATAGTCGAAGTTAAATTTAACTTGTAATTGGATGAAATATGACCTTTAAGGAAACGTGTAACTTAAAACATAGCTTCAGCTATACTCATAATAAGCTTTCAGATACTTGCTTTTAAAATACTGGATTCCTATCAGTCTGCTAATTATGTTCAAAATAAGGTTTTAGTTTAAATGGCTAGCTTGGCTTACCAACATTTGGCTTAAGAATTAATTTTAGTGGAAAAGATGAAAGTTGTGGTTTAGCTGTAAATGTGATACCAAGTGAAGAGTGTAGACTGTTTAAACCCAGATGTGCTGGAGTAATGCTTTTATATCACAAGTTGTTTTACCATTAGAATTTAAATGTGTCATAAATTTAGAAGATGTATGTGCCTCTTGAAAGTATTTCTAAATTGAGCAGTAAATCTATTCACTCAGATAATATAACTGTAAACAGTATTTTTCACCAGTGGGTCAATTAAGAATCAGACTTACCGATTTAGAATTAAATTTTTAAAAATTGCTCATGAAATGATTGTTCAGGTCATCAAAGAATCCAAACCACATATAGCTGACATTAATTGTGATTTACTTTAAATCCTGAATACATTTCATTCCTTGAAGATGGGCGGCAGCAGGGTCATGGATAACCTTGAAATGGACCTGGGATTACAGCTTGAAAGACACATGCGTATTAACATTGACTTTGAAAATTTCAAGATTTACAGAAAAAAATTGTTTAAGCACAAATTTTTATTTCATGAGTCAAAATCAATTTCAAGAAACTTGTAAGTCTGAAATTAGTATGAAGAAAGGTTCTTAGTGTACACATAGGGGATTTTATTTTTTTTCATAGTTGGAACTTGTTATTTTGTTGCTCTAGTCAGTCAGTTCCTTGTTACTTAATAACTTACTGTCAAATAAAATCTTTGCTCTGAAACAGGTTTCATTAATTCTTTGTTCTTGGGTTTTATAATTATTTTATTTTCAATTCATGTTTAAGTTATTCTGTACATTTTGCAGTTAATGTTATTAATTGGTGACAATATAAAGTATTTGACTTGCTATGAGTAATAGTTTGTATAATTTTTCAAAAATAATTTGTATAATTAAAAATAATTTAAAAGGAATGAGGGAATTTGAAGTGTTTGTTGACTTGTTCTTTTTACCTTCCTCAGCAACCGAAGAATCTTGAGGGTTATGTGGGATTTGCCAACCTTCCAAATCAAGTGTACAGAAAATCCGTGAAACGAGGATTTGAATTCACACTTATGGTAGTAGGTAAGATAATTTCTTACTAATCTGGAGTTTTGGTCCTTATTAATCAACTTTGGATGGATTTAAGAAATAATATCACATATAACTTTAGTGAATGTGTATTGTGTTTTATCTTATGTGGAAACATTTAACAATTTAGCTTAGTTGCATAATAGGATTTGTATCTCCTTTTTCTCCTTCCTTTATCCCCAACTCCTTTGGTAGAAACTAAAAATGGAGAAATGATGGGTGGTTATGGTAGAGGAGAACAACAACACAAAGATTCTCTCCAACTGATGTTAAGAAAGGAAAAAGTATCAAATAGCTACTTATTATTGCAGAATGTTTGTTCTCTGGGTAATAACCTTCAGTTAAGTTGTGTCATGTGAACATTTAAGTTAAACAAGTATGTGATTTGAATTTTCAAAAACAAGGTAGGATAAAAGGTAATAATTCAAATGATTACCTTTAGAATCAAACTTATTTTGTGTTGTATTTCAGGGAAATATGATTCTTCTTGTTTCTATTCATTCATTTATTTATATTTTATATATGAGTGCTTTGCATGTGCACCTGCATGCCGGGAGTGGGCATCAGATCTCATTATTGGGTGGTTGTAAGCCACCATGTGGTTGCTGGAATTGAATTTGGGACCTCTGGAAGAGCAACTAGTGATCTTAACTGCCAGGCCATTCTCTTCAGCCCTGCCCTCTTGTTTTCTAATTTAGTCTGTGAACACTTTGCTCTGCTGTATAATTCATTTGTAGATACTGTTAAGGGTTATGTTGTATATAGGTTGGTTAATGTCATCATTATATATAAAGAAACAGTCCATACTTTTTTTTTACAACCTAGATAATGACAGTCTTATTCTTAAGTGGCTATTTTTACTGGCTACAGGCTGACATTATGCTTTAGTAAACTCTTGTGTAAAGGAACTTTGTTATATTTTTTTCTATTACTTGTTTTAAGAAGATGAAAGCACCAGGTGGTTGATGGTGCTTTAATCCCAGCACTAGGAAGGCAGAGACAGGCAGATCTCTGTGAGTTTGAGGCCAGCTGGTCTACTGAGTGAGTTCCAGGACAGCCTCCAAAGCTATAGAGAAACCCTGTTTCAGACAACAGCAATAAAGATGATGATGAAAGCAGGATTGTTGATGAAAGTTTCCATCCTGCCAGCCTGGTCCCACAACCACTTCAACCCCAAATAAACACACAGATGCTGTATTGGTTATAAAACTTTTGGGCGATGACTAGGACTTCTTATGGGCTAGCTGTGTCTTAATTATTCACCCATTTCTATAAATCCATGTTATTTCTACGTGTTCTTGGTTTACTGGAGAAGGGTCTGGACCAGCTACTCCTTTGTCAGGCTACATGGTGACTGCGTCTGCCTATGTTTCCCAGAATTCTCATTTCCTAGACAGTGCTATTTCCCTGTCTCTATTGGCCACAGTGTTTTATTCAACCAATAAGAGAAACATATCTACAGAAGGACAACGCCCATCATCTCCTCTTTTCTGCCTAAATAAAAAGAAGGGTTTTAACTTTAACATAGTAAAATTATATATAACAAAACAATTTTCAAGTAAGAACTATAGTTATAATATTTAGTCCATTAACATTTAGCAATACTTAAAATATTCTATCATTTATCCCATCTTTGTGAGTTTTAAGTCTTATATGTAGCTTATCTTTTATCATAACTAATGAAACCAAAACCATAGCTATCTATCTTCAACTCCATCAAAGACCACAAAAGGATAATATGTAAACTCTAGAATTGACAGAGACATCTTCCTGCCTGGTCAGTACCCAAAGTTCCTCTGTAATGTTGGAGCATCCATCTTCAGCCCACAGGCCACAGTGTGGTTGGCAGACTTCTCAGTGAAGCAGGGAATCTTAAACTGTCCACCTGTATTGGCAGTTTGTTAGTCATTTTTCTCTGTGTCCTGCAGAATGTCTGGCAGACTTTTTCCATGAAGCAGGAACCCTGCAGGACTATCCCGTCTTGTTTCAGCAGTCACTTTCCTGTGGGTCCAGTTTATATAGTATCAGTCAAACAGTCCAGGCAAGAGCAGTTTCTTGCCCAAATGGCTAGTCTTGCCATGTCAAAGGCAAACTGCATAATGAGTTTCTTCGATGCTCATCTTCCTCTCTGAAATAATTGCCAGGAGCGGTTGTATCTCACTGTCATGAAAAACCCTAAACCATTTTAAATGCCAATATTCTGTAGGTCTTTGAAAAATTTGAAGACTGTCCATCTCAGATATATCTCTGTATATCTAGAAAACCTAACATAACTGTAACTTTTGACTATTATAGGTGACTATATATAATCTGTGTTTTACTATATATTACATTTTTAAATGAGCTGTATAAACAGAATACCTAAACAAGAGGAGAAATATGCATATAACAAAATTGACCTTAAATTTATCAGTCACAATGCATACCAATGCAAAGTATTCATTTCTATATCATATTCCCTTTTTTTCCTTTAGAAAGAGATTGGGTGTGATCATTAATCATTTATAACCAACCCCATTTAAAGGAAAACAAACATTTACAAACAATATTTGGGAATTTGGGCGTCATTCTCTCAAAACTGCTTCCTGTTTGGGGTTGCTGTCATTATCAGGGGGATCATGAGAAAACACAGAAACCTGGCCAAATCCTGGCTGTAATTGTCTGTAAGGCTGCATCGTCCCAGTTTTTGGATGTTGGATAACCTGGGCCATTCTTTTAGGGAATCTTGCTCAATTGATCAAACCATATTAGTCTGTAAGGAATCCAAGTGGAAACAAAAATAAAGCCTCTTTTCCAAAGTAACCTTAGACTTATATTTTGAAGTCAAGCATTTTCAAAATATATAATTTGGATTAATTCAGCATTATTTATAATAAAATGTCTTTTTGCATTGGTTGCTCTTTCCTCAGCAATCAAACAATTCAAAGACAAGAGAATAATATATAGTATCCAGACTCTTCTGTGTAGTTTCCATCTTTATGTGCTTTTTCTTTTTACTCTTTTTTTACTATTTTATTCTTTTTCTTTTCTCTCCTAAGCCTGTGTATATTTTTAACTTATTTATTTATTGCATATACACTGTTCTGCCTACATGCCAGATCTCATTATAGATGACTGTGAGCCACCATGTGGTTGCTGGGAATTGAACTTAGGACCTCTGGAAGAGCAGTCAGTGCTTATAATCTCTAAGCCATCTCTCCAGCCTGCCTACGTATATTTTTAAACACACTGTAAACCCTTTAGAGGTTTTCTTCATCTGAATCTGTCTTTACTGTAAATTGTAGGGAGACACATAAATACTTATCTTTTTCTGACCTACACGTCTTTTATCTGCTAAACAGCATGGCTAAGAGCCATGCGGTTGTTTTTGCTGCTTATGTTGAGTCAGGAAGCCACTCTTAAAGGAGCCAACAAGATAGGTGGGACTAGGAGTCAAGGAGGATTTTGGGAAATGTATTAAAAGAAAGTTTGTGATACAGGCAGAAAGAGACATAGCAGGCAGACTACTATATAAGCTAGGACAAGAAGGAAGTCATTCTCTTGCTCTTCCTCCTGCTCTCTGCTCTGGAGTCACCATGTGATGCTGGCAAGAGAAGATGCCTGCAGCTGGTGTCCGATACGATAAGTCCTTATGGTTGATACTTAAGACTGAACTAGCAGGTAAGAAATCCTAGTCATTGCCCAAACAGCATTTGTACCTACTCTCTGTGTTGAGTTTCTCTATTTAGTTTGATGTTGGCTGTTGGTTTGCTGTATATTGCTTTTATCATGTTTAGATGTGTTTCTGTTATTCCTGATCTCTCCAAGACCTTTATCATGAAGGGATGCTGGATTTTGTCAAAGGCTTCTTCAGCATCTACTGAGATGATCATGTGGTTTTTCTTTTTCAGTTTGTTTATATGGTGGATTACATTGATTATATGGATTTTCATATGTTGAACCATCCCTGCATTCCTGGGATAAAGCCAACTTGATCATGGTGGCTTATTTCTCTGATGTGTTTTTTGATTCGAATCACTATTGTTGAATAGTTTTGCATCAATTTTCATGAGGGATATTGGTCTGTAATTCTCTTTTTTCGTTGTGTCTTTGTGTGGCTTGGGTACCAAGTAGCCTCATAAAAAGAGCTTGGCAATGTCCCTTCTGCTGCTATTGTGTGGAACAATTTGAGGAGTACTGGTATTAGCTCTTATTTGAATTTCTGGTGGAATGCTGCACTGAAACCATCTGGCCCTGGGCTTTTTTTGGTTGGTAGACTTTTGATGACTGCTTCTATTTCATTAGAGGTCTGTTTAAATTGCTTATCTGTTCGTGATTTAATTTTGGTAAGTGATATCTATCCAGAAAATTGTCTATTTCCTTTAAATTTTCCAATTTTGTGGAGTACAGGTTTTCAAAGTTCTCTGGATTTCCTCAGTGTCTGTTGTTATATCCCTCTTTTTATTTCTGATTTTGTTAATTAGCATGCTCTCTCTCTGCCTTTTGGTTAGTTTGGATAAATGTTTGTCTATCTTGTTGACTTTCTTGAAGAACCCACTCTTTGTTTCATTGCGTCTTTGTAGTGTTTTTCTAGTTTCTACTTAATTGATTTCAGCCCTCAGTTTGCTTATTTCATTTCATCCTTGACCCAGGAATGGTGCAGTTGTGCATTATTCAATTTCCATGAGTTTGTAGGGTTTCTGTGATTTGTGTTGTTGTTGAATTCTAATTTTAAAGCTTGGTGGTCTGATATGATACAGGGGGTTATTCCTTTTTTTTTTTTTTTTTTTTTTTGTATCTGTGTAGGTTTGCTACATTGCCTAGTATGTGGTCAGTTTTAGAGAGGGTTCCATGTGACGCTAAGAAGAAGATATATTTTGTGATTGGATGGAATGTTTTGTAGATACCTGTTAAACACAATTGGGTCATAACATTTGTTAATTTTTTTGTTTCTTTGTTAAGTTTCTGTCTGGTGGTCCTATCTAGTGGTGAGAGCTGAGTGTTGAAGTCTCCAA